ACTGGTATATGCACACTCACCCATGCAAATATTGGAATAACACTTGGAGCCTTATCCCGCACCATGGAAATCAATGGGAGTTTTGACACTAATTTCAGTAGCAGCAGGATCTTGATGCATACATAAGGGCCCATCATGATCCAAATAAAGTAAATTGTGCACCTGTCACTGAATGGATAGGAGCAGGATTGGGCCCTCAAACTTTGGGGGGGGGGAACCCCCTCACCCAACATATTGGCATACCTAATGTGGTTTCCCTTATATATTGATTTTTTTTTTTAAATTCTCGTCTACTATTCAAACTTAGTAAAGGCACATTCCTAACTGAGGACTACAACTCAAGAATAGTTTCATTTTGAATATTCAAATTTGACAAGTATGATCAAATTTATGATCTATTTAAAAAAAAAAAAAGTGTTTGAAAAATACCTTAAAGCTTAAGTGCATCTTTCTGACAATTGGGTCACTCAGAAATGAGCAAATGGAATTTTAATAAATTATATTACATTTGTTTGTCTAACAGATTCTTAATACATCCTTCTCCTTTGCTGCACTGGTTATATTCTTATCAGCCTCTCCAGCTCCTCATTTTTAAAAAGACACCAATTTAGAAAACAGATTACACTGTAATATATGTTTTGTTCAGTTTCCACTCTAACGTCCCAGTTCTGCAAACACTTATGCATGTATTTAACTTTATTTAATCCTAAATTAGTATTGTTCCTAGAAGATGCAATATAAATTTAAAGTTTGTTTGTGTATAATTGATTATATCTATTTTTTCTTAGATGTTGTCACCCACCTTGTTGTCATCATTATTTATTTTTTCTCACCTTTTAAATAATAGAAATTTAAAAGTAAATAGTATCCAAAGTTGAATGGGTTTACCATAAACTTTGAAAATGTTTTCAGTGATTCCTTATTTTACTGGATTCATTGTAGTTTGAAAGAATTTCACAACAAGAACTGAAAAGTTAGATGAGCTGAACCTATCAAAGAAAACTTTTAAATTTTATAATGTTTTAAATTAAGCTTTTAAAATAATGTTTTAAATTAAGCTTTATAGACTGAGAGTCAACAAAGGAAAGAAATGAAATAATCTAAGCACTTATTAAACATGTTTGCTTGAAGATTGTGCTAATGTATGCAGAGGCAGGTTACAATAGGCTATGTAACTGAACACTAATGCACCTGTTAACTATCTACTCAGCTTCACATTGAAATAGACCTGCTTAAGGAGGAAGGGGGAAAAAAATCTAATTTATTTACTGACCCCAAGCCCCATTTCAGCATACATTTCCCTTAGCTGTTCCCAAATCAGATTCATCTTAATCAGTTTCCTGGTTGATTGGAACTGATTCAACACATTTCCTGTGGCACCGTGGATTTTTAATGAACTGATCGAAATCACAGAGCACAATGAAGAATGGTTCTCCTAGAGGTTAGGGTTTGTTCTCAATCAGCCATTGCTTCAAGTAGATTGATCAGGAAACACACACGGCAGCCTAGCCATTGCAAACCGATGAATATATTCATGGTTGCCTGTGTGTTTGCATTCAGAAATTTGTTGAACGTGTTTTTATGCCTTTTCCTGTTCCTCACTTCCATGTTATCTAATAGTTTAGTGACTCACTCTCTGACCTTGCTTTAGTTTTCTAATGGCATTTGTTTTTCTTTATGTGCGTTCCAGTTTTTTAAAGACAAACATAAAAGTAGGTGATTTAGTATTTTGAATGACCAAGGATGGATTTTATATATGGTGCAAGTGATCAAACATTTATTATTATTATTATTCCGTTTTAAAGAATGATAATTCGTGATCTAGGAATAGGAAGTGGAATGTAATACATAGCTGCGTAATACAGTTTTAAATCCCAGAATGCATTTGTGTTTAATTGATTCTTGGTTACGATTACTAGAATTTGTATTACACTCTGTACAAGTCTATGTGAGTGCATACAAAGTGTGTATGTGTGAATGTGTTACATTTTTTTAGAAAGGTGGTTGTGATGCACACCAACAAAAAAACAAGCAGTGCTTAGGAAAGTGTCCTTAAGTCAACCCATTATGCTTATGTATTGCAGTGAATGTTACATAATTTCACACATTTTTTGTAATTCTGCAGTACCTTAAAGCACCTGGTCATGGATCTTTCAATTGATGAATTATAAGATTTCTTTTGAGGCTATTAGAATATATTTTATCTGTGCTGTGGAACCCTTATCATGCATATCTTATCTATCAAAAAAGTGAACCTGTTCCTGTTCATAAAATTGTTTTGAGTACATCTAATGCGTTAGCCTATATACCCCTCCTCTCTCTCTCTCTCTCTCTCACCACACACACACACACACACACACACACACACACACACACACACACACACACACACACACAAATACTAGAGAGAGAGAGTGTGTGTGTGAATGAGTAATATTTTACAAAGCCTGAAAAGGAGAGAGTTTGGCTGGTTTTATGTATGTTAGTTAAGAGATTACTGTGCACATGCTTAGAATACTTTTCAGTGATCATATTTCTAATATTTATAATTTGAGATGTCAAAATTTTTGCACTTGGATGCTTGAAGTTAGGAACCCAGTAAAAATAATCTGGCCCCGCCTTTTACTAAAATGCCTAGCTTCACACCTTTACTGTGAAAATGTTGGCATATACATTTTATCATTCTCTGACACTTAAAAAGTACAGTATAATTATTTAAAGATTATGACAAAAATTAAGACCTGAGATCCAGTCTGGTATGTATCATGTTATCCAGAGGTAGACTTTTAGATACTAATTAAGGTTAAGGGTCCAATTAACATAAGTGGGTTTATCTTTGAAGCAGTGAAAGCCTCTTAACTTTAAAAAAACATAGTGTCATTGTTTCTGATTTTATTACTGAAGAATTATTGACATCTCTTTATGCCCAGAAAACATTTTTTGTTTATCAGTGTATGAAATATTTTAAGGTATTGAACAAATTATTATGAGGATATGTTTAGTTTCAATTTTTAGGATTCATTTTGTTGAACTCTACTGAAACATGACATTTCATAGCTGAAAGTCTTTGGTTTCCTAAGTGTCCTCTGTCCTGATAGGTGTCCAGTAGCGCCTTTTCAACAGCTTATCTAAATAATTGTCGAAATGAGAGAAAGCATTCACTTACTTGGTGAATTATAAAACAAACACACACACAACCCCCCCCCCCCCCGCGCTTTGGAAGGGTTAAAGCTTTTCATGAAGGTTAATAGAAAATAAAGAAGTGTAGCAATGTAGTGTTAGTCTGAGGAATTTGAGCCAAGGTGTCTGTCTATCTCTAATGGAGGATGACAACGAAGGATTTAAGAAGTCATCCCACTTATTGTCTCCAACACAAAAACCTTCCGCCTGCATCTTTCAATTTGCTTCACCACTTCTCAAGGAGCCATGGGCAAACTGCTGAATTTTTATTAATCAGCTTATCCTAATGAAAAGACCTTTTCAGAAGAATGGGGAGAGACATACATACAGAAAACTGTTTTCGAATCCTTTTACATAAACAACATGTAGGAGTTTTCTTCATAGAGGTTGGGGGAAGACAAGTTTCAGTTCTGCTTTTTACTCTTTCATCTGGCTGTTCTCTCCCTCTTTCTTTCACCTAATTTTATACTTTCTGTAACCATATGTTGATGAGTGGTGGTTTTTTTTTTTTTAAGACAACTAAAAGGCAGACTTAGTGGTGGGAGGGGGGAATGGGCGGAAATACCTTTGGGAACTGAGGCAAGAAAGCCTAAGCTGATAAAACATGACTCTCTTCTGATGGGGGCCCTGCTTGGATAACTTGCCCTCTTCTAAATTCTTAGTCTCCCTTTCTACACCCCTCCTTCCTCTCCTTTTCTCTCTCTTGTCAAACCCACTTCATAAACAGTAACAGCTGGAGGTCTTTTTAGTGGCATTCAGGGATTACTGCCCTTCAGGATTTTAATAAGCCCCAATGCCTGAAATGCCTGTAAGGGTGCTCTCTGAGACAATTACCATTCAGGATGGGGATTGAGGACCCTTCAGTGGCCCAGATGGCCAGGGTTCTGTGCACAGGGAGATAGCGTTCCAAGAACAACAGATCACTGGAGCAAAGAGGGGTTTTTTTTGTTGGTTAAAACTGGGAGCAGGAGAGGGAGAAAGGGAAGGGAATAAGGGGGTTCTCTCACCTTCCAGCTAATCAAAGCAGAGTTTACTCATTCTGTACTTAACTGGATTTAAAGCTGTAACCTCTTAAGAGCAGCAATTTTAGGTTACCACAGTCCTATGGTTGACTTGCACAGGGCACTGTAAACTGTAGGGCAGCTGCTCTTCGTAGTTTAAATGTACAGTACTCCTGATGATAAAGAAGCATAACTAAGTATTCCTTTTGTTAGGACCATAATGAGGTGGCTACCCATAATACTTCAATACTGAGAGTGGGTGGCAAAGGTTGTGGCGATAACAGATTTTTAGCTATGAGTGTTTTGGAGGGGAAAGTCTGGAAAATGCAGTTTTTCCACATAGGGCAAATATCCAGTCAGGAAGAACTGACTGTTTCAGTTTCCCTTTACCTAACGTACTGCATGGCTTCCATAGGGTAATTCAGAGCCCATGGGAGAGAAGTGGTTTGCTATCTCAGAGTCCTGTCATGCAGGGATTTCCCAGAGAGAATCTATTTTTAGCCCCAGGGCTGATATGAAATACGCGGGATGGTAGAAAGTTTGGAATTTGTTTGGGTTATCAAAACCCTCTGATTTGAGCAATGAAAGGGCTTCGATGGTGACTTTGCTACAATCAAATCAGTTTGGTCTTACTGTCCCTAACAATGGGTGGGGAGGAGTGGCTTATTAGCTGAACAGCTGTTCTCTGTCTGTGTGAACAGACATTAATTTTTTAATCCTTGTATCCCCTGATGGCAGAAAAATCCTTTTATGCCTCTTTAGATTAAGGTTAATATTTGCCGTACTGAGTTCAGATATTCCATTTGCTGACCACTGGTGTTTGATTTTTACAATGTATCCTTTATTGTTGTACATCAAACTTAATTATAAAAATAATTACAATAATTAAAATGCATCATTACATCATGACAGAGAAAGTGAACTTGCCTTAAGAAAAAGTATACATCTGGACTAAGCCTCATGATTGAAAAATCTAGATCAGTGGTTCTCAAACTTTTTTTTTCACGGACCACTTGAAAATCGCTGAGCGTCTTAGCGGACCACTTAATGATCTTTCCAAATGCTGTTTGTACCGTCAGTGCTTTGGATAAATGCGCTGTATAAAAAAATAGTAGTAATAATTAATGTTATTTTGTTCTACAAATAAAAACACACAACTCCTATTTTTATATCAGTCGTCTTTTCTAATGTGATGGATATGCCCCAAGTTGGGGCTGGGAAGGACGGGGGTTTCTCTCCTCCGCCACAGAGCTGAGGCTGGGAAGGAGGGCTGTCTCTCCCCGGCAGCTGCAGCCCTGGAGCTGGGGAAAGTTGCCTCTTTCTCTGGCTGCTGCAGCCCTGCATGTCCCAAATTCCTCCCAACCCCTCTTCTCACCCCACTGCCCCCCCCACCTACCCCCTATTCCCCCCCCCCCCAAGGCTAGCACATCACCTTACATGTGCGTCTTCTCCAGGGTCTATGCATCTAATTCGCGGAGCCACGACTGTGTGGCTCCAATAATTAGGTGGGTGACCCTTCATTCTCTCGTGTGCAGACCACAGTTTGAGAACCTCTGGTCTAGATGGATGAGGATAATTCTGTAGGTATTGATTTTGAGGCTTTTGTCCTGTCTGCTGCGTCCCGTGTCTCCCCTCCCTCTGTAGTCAATACCCCCTGACCCTTCATCTGTCTCTTAAACTACCTGTACTGAGGATACTTATAAGGTTAAGAAATCATTTGTAATATGAACAGTAGTACAGCAAGACAGTCAGTTCACCTGCAGATAATGTTTCAGTAGCCTCTTTCAAACTGACAAGTGTAGCTGCTTGAATATGCTCCCCTTGTGAAGCTGAAAGATCTGGTTTGTTTTTCTTCTGCATTGCTTTCACAGGTCATTTTCCATAAAAATCTTGCTCCTTTGGCTTTATTAGGGAAATAAGTTAATAAACGGATAAATAAATCTCATAAAGCAGGAAGGACCTAACCCACTAGTGGGTGTCAGTAGTCGAAGTTTTGCTGACCTTGGTATGAATTGTAAACTGTGCAGGCAATGTAAATCTTACGGCAGTTTCTAAATGGGCGAAATCCAGCTTGCCTTGCTTGAACGAGTTGACTTGCTAAAGTCAGTGGGATCATTTATGTGAATAAAGTGAGTGGCATTTGGCCCACTCTAATTTGTTAGTCTCTAAGGTGCCACAAGGACTCCTCATTTTTTTTTTGTTTTGTTTTTTGCTGATATAGACTAACACGGCTACCACTGAAACCTGTATAGAAATAGTATCTCCTTTAGTCTTATCTTTTCTCTCAGATCTCCAGGTTAAACTCTCAGGAGATATAATATTTTAAAACAATTTTATAAACTATGGAAACTTAATTCTTGTCTGTTTTCACAATTGAATTAAGAATACCACAAAAATGTAGTAAGAATATACATTTAATGTTATATATAATGAAAACTATACAGTTCCCCACCCATGAAGTCCATTAATTTCAGTAGAGTTATGCTAGCATATAACTTGGCTAATGTAGTAAAGTGGTGAATCAGGCGAGTGTTTTTAGAGCATATGTAGAAATATATAAAATAAACATGATGCGTGCGCGCTCTCTCTCTCTCTCTGTGATTGATTATATATCTATGTTTGTGACAAGGGCAGTTCTTCTTTCTGATCACCATGATGGATCTCTTCAGGATGATCCTGCTTTCCCATACCTTTGAAGGATTCTAATTTATATTAAGGATGGTGCCTTTTCAAGGAGATTTCTGCTCTATTTCTGTAGACACTTATACCATGTGCATCACCATGATAGGTGAGCACCTCTGTGGTATCTAATTGCTGCTAAAGAAAGGGTGCACAGAAGAGATTATAGTGCATATCAGAGAGGAGAACTTGAGCTCAGTATCACAACCTTTATTCTCTCAGGAGCCTTTAGCCTTAAATGGCATCTGTGGTTTGAGTTACAGAGAGGGGCCATTCCCAAATGCTCCAGGTCTTGCCATGTTATGATAGGATTTTTTTCCCAGTTCCCTCCCACTTTTAAGGGAAATATTTTAACTACATTGACTTAACACACGGAATCCTCCCGCCCCCACCTCCATTGTCCTCTGCCAAGAATTCTTAGTCCCTATCTGAGCCTGTAGCATTCTCCATTAATAAGTGAGACCTGAGAAATAGACCATGATCTTGGATGTTAACCTGTTTAAAATAACTGTTTGTTTTAAATGTATGGCTCTGGAGTTTTTATTCCTTATTTCCCCCAAAAGGATGTAAATGATTTTAGTCTCTTCACATTTTTCTCATTTCTGCGTCAGTGAATTGAGTATGAGCTGTGATTTGCCTGATGCTGTCTACGACTGCCAGATGCTAGAAGGCTGATGGAGTCATGGAACAGCACTACAGTGCTTGTCATTCTAGATATCTTGAACTGAGAGGACTTCTGTAACCTGATTTAGACTCTTGCTTTTTTCTTTTCTTTTTTTTTTTAGAGATACAGTCTCAAGCTACAATACTTACAGTTTCCTAGTTACTACTAATGGTTTTCATTATTTATTTTATACATTGTTGGTTACAAATGTTGCAGAGTTAGGGCGGAGAGGAGAAAATGATGAGCTCATTTGCTATAGTTGGATTGTTAACAAAAACCTAAACGGTCTGCACTGTTACATGGTTGCATAAATCATCCTCGGAAAATTTGCGATAGTTTTAAGGTCAGCTAGATAAAATAAAAATGTATAAAGTGGCACACAGATATTACTGTAATCTGTAGGTGGCATTTAGTAGAACATGCTTATAAAACTGAACCAGCAATTTTGAATCTGCTCTAGTGGAACTAATGGCCTTGTATTCAAATATAATTTATGTTAGAAACATGTAATTCCTTCAACTAATGCTCTACTAATTGTGGTATTATATTGTATAAGTGCTAAAATAATATTAAACCTGTTTAATTTTAGAGACTTGCTTCAGAACTTTAAAAATATTTTAGCTTCCCATTTGAGACAATCTTTACTAGGCTTCTGCTAACACAATAGTATGTTGCTGCTACCACCCTATCTCCCTGTTTGTCCATCCTCCGTCCAGGCTCATCAACATAGGATCACACAACATGATGTAATGATACACTAGAAATTCATTGATGTCAGGCTAGGATGCCTTTCAATGAGATGAGCTGACATGTCAGTCTCTGTAGATATGGAAATCCGTAAAAGTAATGATAAATGGATAACAGGATAGTAATTAAACTGGACTTGCACTCAAAGCCCTCTACAAATAGGAGAGCTGTGAAGATTAGGTACTGTTAAGTGTTGTTATGAGATGAGAAACTGAGGCATAGAGTTTTAAGTGACATGTACAGGGCCAAAGAGCTAGATTGGGTCAGAGGCTTCACTGGAAGACCATTCCCTGTACTCCCCTACCTAGCTCATGGTGCCAGACTACACCTCTCTCTGCATGAATGATCAGTTGACTCTTAATCAGTGTCTTATTTACTCTGTGTCCCAGTCAGTAAACACCAAAAAAGCATTCAAAAGCATCTGCTCGTCATTTCCTAAAAACTTGCCATGGCTGCCTGGCGCTTCTGGTTTTGACGGATTATTAGTCTGTGAAGGCAAAGATAAAGCATTTCCTTGTATTAAATTTGAGCACGCTCTGTGCTTTGGGCTGAATGAAATATTAAAAGCTGTTTGCGATCTCACAGATGACTATGGCAGGCAAACTTTCGCACGCACATAGGGGGAGGAAAAAAGAAAACCTGGCTGAGACATCCATAGGCAACAAGACCTGCATAGGCAGTTTGTCCGTGTTTGGTGGTAATATTTCCCTCTGATGCACTTTTGGAAAGGAGGGAAGCGATTAACACCAATGGCGCATGTTTTACATTATTATTTTAAATGTACTTAGGCCACCTACATTTGTTAATCCTCTGATTTACCACAGCTCCTGAACCCATCAGTCGTCAGAAGACTATAATAAATTCTATGAATAACAGGATCTAGTTTACAGGAACGTGTGCATAAAGTATAATATACTTACATAAAATCTCATCTAAAGCATGATGAGGAGAGGAGGATTTTTGCAGCATTGGCTAATCCTTCTAATATTCTATAATAATACAGAAGTGGTAATTGTCCTGTAGAGATTTTGTCCAGTGCAGTCCTTCTTGATTACAATTACCTTGCACATTGGCTCACTGCTGAGAACTTTCATCCCATGGATGGCTGGTTTTACAAGTTTGGCCTTATCTGTCAGTCTGTCTATGTGGAACTGAATGGAAACGCATCCATGTTACTTAATGAGAAACTTTGTCTTAAGTGTAGTGAACCCTCTCACTATGAGGATGTCTGTTACCTAAGGGCTTAAAATCCATGATAATTACCATGTCTATAAAATGCCCCTCATTACAGCACATAAAATGCTTGGCTTCAGAGAACCGTTTTGAGGAGATGGTTGCACTGTGCCTGTCAGCATAAAATAAAACTCCTGGATTTAAAAAAAAAAAAAAAAAGCATTGCACTTTATTTCATTTGCGCATCATACAGTAAAAGATATCTCCAAATTCTCTGGCTTTGGCCTGGTAGTGACTTAAAGCATGGGCTGTTCATCAGCAAGGCACTAAAATGGAGGGCAAAGTGACACTTGTAGAGGCCTGTAGGCCCCACTACAATAAAAGCTATGGCTCTGGGGGGAGCACTGTTCACGAGGGATTAAGCAAGGCTGTTCTCAGTAGATCAATACTGGAAAAAAATACAGTAAGAACCTCGTAACCTGCCAAAGAAGTTGTTTTGAAGTGTTCATATAACAGTAAAGGGGCAAATTCCCCTCTTATTTGAGGGGAATTTAGGAAAGATGCACCTAACGTGAAGAAATACAAAAACTCTTGTACTCAATTACAAATGGTTAGCTTGAAGCAAATAATGAAATCTTTCCGAAAATAACTGAATGATTAGTTATTGAATTTGGCCACATGATTTGCTGAGTCATATGGATGCTTTTAAGTAGGTTTGCTTTTTTGAGCAACTACTTCCCCCTCTTCCCTGTACCCTCTTTAATTTGCCATGGCTAAATCCCAACACATTTTTGAAACCACAATTTGAAAACTTAATATTTTCAAACTTGAAAAAATTACATTTATAAATGCAATGTTTCCTTTTTTCTTAATTGTGTCCCCCTCTATTATTTTGGAGTATTTCTGTGTGTTGCAGTCACATCTCAGATAGAAACAGTGTTGACTTGAATTGTGTCAAAACTAATTTCCTGAAGTGTGGACTATCAAGTGGAAACATTCCATGTATCCTCTATTGCAGTGTCCAAATTATTAGTGAATTTTCCAAGCAAACAAAAAATGTAATTTAGATTCATTCATGTCGTCTAACCCTTCATCTTGAAGATCCCCTTGTTTTAAGTCAGTGTGAGCTGGACCTAGCACGCTTTAGGAAAAAAACCCCAAAACTATAAACTGCTGGTGTTACAAATGCTGAATCATGAAACTGATGTTAGAGAAAACTTTGTGTATATTTAAACTAATCCAGTGCTGTTTTGAACTTGTTCCTCTGCTGTTTTTGTCTGAGCAAAGCCCTCATTTTAAGTCTTTGTCATGCATTTGAAAGGTTGGTGTTGCACATTTGATCCTTGGCAGGTTGCGAGCTTGTTTTGAATCACATATTAAAACCAAAATGAAAGCTGTTCGGAGCAGAGATTGGAAAATGTCACTTTTTACATCAGTGTCTAAGTGGCAGGAGACAGGTACTGGAGTGGAGAGGAAGGAAGTGAACTTACTGTTGTCAAAGTACCAAATAATATTTTCCAGTATGCTGTTCTTTAAAGAAGTAAGTTTCTGTCCCCCATTAAGTAGCCAGAGAATGCTTTTTATGGCTATCTTTTAAAACTTTAAAATCTAATTTTTCTGTCTGAAGACCCCTTTTCTC